GGAACACACCCCCTCCACCAGGCTCGGCGCGCCAATTCTCTCAGAAGACCGGTGAGAACTCAATGGGAACTCCAAAGTAGCAGGCACTGGAGGCAGCAGGATCCACCCTAATCCCAGAGCCACCCTATTTCCAGCAGGATCCACCCTAATCCCAGAGCAGGGTCACCTTTCAACCATTCCCTCTGGCAAAAATGCCAGGTGTCATTCCCACTAAACTGTGGCTCTCAACACTCTACCATGTTCACAGAAGGCAATTTGATTCCTTTTGATCTTTAAAAAAATCCTTTTAATTTTTCTTTTTTTACTTTGCTAGTGTGAGTTGATTTTGTGCTTTAGGGGCAATTCTCCCCTTCATATTCATTGATGGGTATGTGTTCCATTTATTCCTCCTACTATAGTATCCTTTTCCTTTTTCAACCTCTAGAAGGAATGAAAAATGTAAGTCATGCTCTCAAAGTAAAACTGAGCCATGCCTGGAATGTTAAAATCTTAGGAAGAAATGTGATGACAAGGCTCAGGTTGCATGTCATAAGAGTTCGTAGGAAAATGACTTAAGCTTCTTATGTATAAATTAAAAACTTACCTTAAGAGCGTTGTTTAACCTGGACTTTCAAAGAATCCCTATTCAGGCAAATGGTTGGTTCTCAATGGATGTAAGAATTATAAGAAATTATGTGTAATATTTTGAAGATATACATATGTATATGTTCAATATATAATAATATATATTCAGTCATATATACAATACTGTCTATATATATATATATATATATATATATATATATATATATATACAAATAATACAATCTACACATTTTTAAAGAAACAAGGGTAAGGATAAGATTACTAGTATTGATCACATTCTGACTCTCAAAATTGTTAAAAGTGAATTACACCACATGGAATAGTGTCTGGAGAGTTTTGAAAAATTATTAAAATTAGTATAATTAGAATTACATTTTCATTGCATCCAAATGTTCATCAGCATTTGTGCTTCTCAATAATCTGGCTAAGGAAGTATGGTGAACTTTTCTTTCAATTTTTTTTTTTATAATTTGCTTTTCCAAAGACTAGAAAACACAGCTGACTGTTCCTTACTATTTCAAAATCTAATATGTTCACTTTCTTCCTACAACTTGCCTTTCACCTATATCCTTTTTCACTACTAACAGGAATTAAACCCATGATATTATTATTCCTTTGTTTCTTATTTTACTTTCTTTAAACTCAAACTCTTGTCATTTAAAATATAACAAAAAGATAAAAAATAATAAGCAGAATTAGAATGTAGAAAGTAGACATATTACAATTGGTTCAAGTTAGTTAAAATTATTTTTAAACTCACATGGAAACTGATGGAACTCAGAAGGCATACACTGAGTTATAGTGAAAAAATAATGAGTTAAGATGTGTATTGGAAAAACAGAGGGAATAATATGAAAAACCAGAAAGTTGTTAGAAACAGTAAAGTAAAAGACAAGTAAATAGTATTTTATAAAATTTTCTGTAGAAATGAGCACACACACAAAAAAATTGCAAGATGGTTTTTAAAAAATTATAATTTAAAAGACTGCATGTGACAGAAAGTAAACTATCCACTTAAATTTAAAAGGAGGGTGGGGACAGACACGGCTACTTGATGGCATGAAGTCAAAGTATCTGGATTTTTTTTTCAGTGTTTTAAAAAATTTAGTGAGAACTGGCTTAAAGTAAAAAAAAAAAAAAGTATGAAAATGTCTTTTTGAGTTTAGCAGAATGTGAAAGATGATAAAAGACTGACAAGAGAGCAAAAGAATAAAAAAGAAAGATAAAGTAAGATTGATATTCAAGCAGTATGACTGCATGAGATTGGATTAGAAGGAATACATTTCCAAGTTCAAGAAAATATTATCCTGCTATATTTTATGCAGATGCTGAATACTGTAACAAAAGCATCATGGGTCCTTATTAAAGTAACCATTCTCACTACATAAAATGTTGCAATGGCTTTAAAGTAACAGAACAGAAATTTTTTTTTTTCATGTTTTCTTGAGCTGGTCAATTTCTTCACACTTTGTGAGCTCTATAGTTAAGATGGAGCAATGATTTAAACAATTTGCTATTCCAGTTCTCTTTCTCCACTGTGTATATATTTCATGGATCATAAATTTCATGCAAAGAGATCCTTTACAAGAATCAAAGTCACATCCTTCAAGAACTTTCTAGCAATCAAAATTATCTGATAATATCATGAATTTAAGTAGTCAAAGTTTGATTCTTCCATCTTTTTCTCTCATGTTTTCAGATCTTTTGGGGACAGAAAGAGAGACAGACAGACATAAACAATGACAGTGCTGTTTGAAATTAAATTCCTGAGTATATAGGAGAATTTGAACCAGATATTCCACCCCAATGCTTAGAAATACCAAGAGGTTTTATATAATGCAGAAGCAGGCTCACTGAACATTAATTCTCAACTAAAATGATCCAGTTCTGGCCTTCTCATGCAAATTTAATCCATTTAAACCTAAAAGGTACAATTACTAAAATGTTTGAGGTTTTGAGATAAAGAGCATTAGCCCTAGAGGGAATATGACATGAGAGTACATAAAACATACAGTTCCATGTATGTGTTTTATGGGGTGTAAGCCCATAACCCTTCCCTTCACTAACTTAAGGAGGCCTGATTTCTTAGCATTAGATCTTCACATTGAAATACAGTTTTATTCACTAGTTTTTCCTTTCTCTCTAGGCCCAGCAAAGAATGTTATGAACTAGAGCTCACTCACAGTTTTTTCCTCTTGCATTTTCCATTCTGCTGGGTAAAGCAAGTGGGTCAAGGTTTCAAAGTGTCCTCACATATATATATATATGTAGCCCAAACTCTCTCCAGAACTTTAGTTTGTATTTCTAGTTGCTGAACTTAAGCTGGGCATACCTGTGAAGTCACTGGGTTGGGCCAAGTATGCTGGAAATCACCAGATAAACACAGCAAATCCTCTCACAGCTCCATTTAGAACAAGTTTGGGGAGAAAGTCATATTTTATGGTAATACAAATATGGGCTGACTAGAGAACACAATCTAAAGTTCATATGAAGTTTGATGTGAAACTGGAAACTTGAAATAGAATTGTTCTTCACAGGAGAGGTGATTATAAAATTGTTAGAGATATTTTGGTAGAAAAGCCTAAAAGTTTCCATGTGAATATCATAACAAATTGAAAAGGAGTTTAGGAATAGGAATGTTCACGGGCCAACATGGAGTGCATTGAGTCTGTCCCTTATCACCATCAGCACCATCTTCAGACTCTGCCCAGATGCAGTGCTGTCCCATGTCCTCATGCTCACATCTAGGTATATTTGTCTTTTCCTTGTCGTAATGAGCTTTTCTATATTTTATTATTATAAGATACTACTATGGGTATAAAGGAATAATAATTTAATAAAATAGATAAGAATTCATACTAAGTAGTGATCATATAATGAAATTTTAGGCACTTTCACTTTGGACATATCTGCCATTATGCAAACTTTTACTGAGCTTTCACATTGTGTCAGACAGTGTAAGACTGTAAAGATGGGTAAGACATAGAATCCATCCTTAAATTCACACCCATTCCTGCTATGGAAGAGAGATATGAAAATAAGGAAATAACTTAGAAGTCATATTTCCAAAAATGATACATGGAAATGTAAAGGAGAATTGTGTTTGCAGCAGGAAGAAGAGTCAGAAATGCTTCTGAAAGGAAAGAAGGTGGCCCCAGAGGTATGTCTAGGGGATGAATAGTTATAAGATGGACAGATAGAGGGTTGTATTTTAGGCAAACACAGACTGAAGCCACGTAAGCAAAGGCAATTAAGCAGTTCAGGAAGGTGGGAACAAAACACTGAAAGTGGAGGGGAAGATACAGGCCTGACCCTTGGGTAGGACACCTGGCTTAGCTGCTCCAGGCCCCAGGTAGGGTGGGAGATCGGCTCAAGTACCACATTGCTCTAATATAAGCGTAATTAAATCTGAATGTTGAAATTTCTGTCTTATATTGCAAGGGTCCTAGAATAGATGCTATAAGTGTATTTACTTTCATTTTTTTATCCTGGAGAACCCACAGGTTGGTTGCCCCCAATTCCAACCTTAGGGGTAAATAAATAAACATAGCTAGTGAGATAGGAAAGGGGCAGAGAATCAAAGCCACATCAGGAGTTTTGACTTTGCTGTGTACATAATGTATACAACAAGTGGATTTTAAACACAGGAAAAAGAGTGGTTTCAGAAATGTCATTCTGGCAACACAATAGTGTTTTTTGAGGTAAAAGGGTGATGAAAAACCCACAATAATACACAATAGCGATGTTGTTGACCTGAACCAAGAAGCAGTATGGATAGGAGCCATAATAATTTATAATACTGCGAAGAGAAATGAGTTCCACATCCTAAACTCTAAAACCTAGGAATATGTGATATTACAGAGCAAAGGGAAATTAAAGTTGCAGATAGAGCTAAGGTGGCTAAGCAGCTGATTTCAGAATAGAGATATCATGTTGGATTACTTGGTGGGGCCGATTTAATCACAAGAGTCCCCAAAATTAGAAGAGGCCATCAGAAGTGTCTGAAATACAGTGACAGGGAGGTGAGAAGAACCTGAGTGGCCATTGCTGTTTTTTTGTTTTGTTTTGTTTTTTGTTGTTGTTTTGGTACTTGGGATTTAACTTAGGGGCACTCATCCACTGAGCCACATCCCCACCCCCATTCTGTATCTTATTTAGAAACAGGGACTCAATGAGTTGCTTAGAGCCTCGCTTTTGATGAGGCTGGCTTTGAATTCGCTATCCTTCTGCCTCAGCCTCCCAAGCCACTGAGATTACAGGCGTGTGTCACAACACCTGGCCCCATTGCTGGTTTTGAAGATGGAGCAACTGGACCACAACTGAATAAATTTAGGCCATCTCTAGGAGCAAGAAATGCAAAGAACAGGAAGTTGCCGCAGCCTGGCTGGGCACAAAATCACGAGCCACTCACAGCCTTGTAGATTCAAACAGCAATTCTTTATTCCCGAACTCACACCGGCACTCTACAAACACATTCTGGGGAAAATCCACACTTCCACTGGGCTCTGCATCCCAAAATACTCTCTGAATACCGCGAGAACTCAACGGGAACTCAAGGAGCGGGTGGGCTTGAGGCAGCAGGATACGCCCCATTCCTAGCAGGAATCACCTTAAACCTGGAACCCCCCTAAACCCAGAACGCCCTAAATCCCAATCTGCCCTAAACCCTGATCCACCCTAACCCGGATCCGCCCTGGTCCTTGAGCAAGGTCACCTTTCATGCAAAGTCACTGCAAATGACCTGGGTCCACCATGGAGAGTTCTTCCTCTAAGCAACATGGAGTAGGCTGACAAAGAAATTGCGATGCGTCATTCCTACTTGGCAATGGCTCTCAGCAGGAAGTCTCCCCTGAAGCCACCAGAAGGAATGCAGATCCTCAATTAGCACCTTAATTTATTATCCACAGTTTGTGAGGTCAGAAGTCTAACATGGCGTGTTGAGACCCATCTTGGATTTTAAACAACTAATCTGTTACAGAAGCAGTAGCAAACTGATAGAAATATCCAATTCAACCTTGGCTTGAAGAGAGCCCTTGATTGAGAACCACACTGAACATTTACCACTGGGCAAAAATTTGGGACATGTCAGTACATCTCTGATAAGGATTTTTGGATGAGGTGCATCACATGTTGATCATACTGTCCACAGTCTTTCCTCCTCAAACATTTACAGATTTCTTAATATATGAACAACATTTTTACATCTGTTGATCAATCAATTGCTGAATTTTGTTTCCACATCTGTTCAGTTACTTTAAATGCACTTAGTATTAAGGAGTTTAAATGTAATATAACATTAGTAGTAAAAACTTTGAGTCACATAGGTTTCAAATCACAACTCTATCCTTTATTGGTAGTGTGACTTCAGGCAATTTAAAATAACCAAACCTCGGTTTCCTCATCTGTAAAAACGAAAGGCAATGGCTCACATTAGGGACCCCAGAATCATGCCCTGAGATGAGGATTGTATACACATGATTTATTTAGAAAGTCCTTTCATGAAAACCCATAAGATATCAGAGTAGGCAAGCTAGGGTAAGAGGTGATTTCATGCAAAATCCTAGCTCCAACATGATTCTGTGGGGGAAATTAAGGTATAAATGGACCTCAGATTTTCTTGCCAGTATAGGAAGAGGGCCAGGCTACATAATGAGGTCCATTCTGGGGGAGAAGTTAACTTCCAACTGGTTCTTTCTAACTCTGCACCTTAGGCAAACTGAGACTAGAAACTTTGGGAAGTCTTCCAAAGAGAGTGTCAGGGCAAGCTGTTGGAAAAAAAAAAAAAAAAAAAAACAGAAGTAAGGGGAAAGGACACTCAGATTCAAAGGGATCCTAGGACATCAGGGTGGAGCCTGACTGTGTCTGTCACAAGGATCGACATCATAGAACTCTTCTAAGAATGGAACACACTCAGGCTTCTCTTCATTTATCTTTTAAAATTTCATTTTTTTGGGGGGGATAGAATGAATATCTAGCATAATTTTTTTCTTATACAAGTCTAAATGATGAAATAATTCATATATATATCTCCAAAAAAGGTCAAAGAAGACAAAGGAGAAATAAAGCAAACCTGAAGGATGCCAGAATATAAATGAACTACATTATTCTGAACCTAGCATTTCAAAATTGCTGTGATTTCAGCCATATTTTTTTTACAGCTGGAAATTTGAAATTATTTGAGACTCACAGCTTGTTTTCATCTTTGAAAAGGTAGTCAATACAAACAAAAATATTCATCTGATGGCAATAAATTTGACAAGAAATTCTATCAACCCCTTCCCCAGTAAATTCCCAATTTTTATAGAAAATATCCTCATTTTCTGGCTACCCTATTTCCTATACTGATAATTAATACCTTCAATTCTGATAGCTTTCAAGTTCACATTTTACATGATACTTAACCCTGTCATATATATATTACCACCTCATTTTTTTTTTCAGATTAAGGAATAATCTATGAGATGTCACATAAGTTTCTCTAAATAAAGACAGTATCAATTTATGACTCCCAAGATTAAACTCTGTTCAGGGTTCCTCTTACACCATGTATCATAACTGAAAGAGAACAAAATTAATATGAAGAGTTATTAAGTAACAAAAGGGATGGACTACTAAAAAAATAGAGACCACTAAAGAATGCAGCGATAGCAGATACAGGGAGCAGTCACTGCCTCTAGAACTGCAGGGGAGTAATCAGGAGGCTAATATCATGGAAGAACTCCCCCAGTCTTCACCCACCATTCTACAAGGCTGAGAGTCAGACCTTATTGGAAAAAACATATGCCATGGCTCATGGGATGGCCGTGAAATTTGTTCAGGTGTTGCTCACTGGGCTGGCAGTAATCACCAGCTTCATTGCTGGTAAAACTTGCTAGGAGGCCACCTACTGACATGTCAGTGAGACTGACAGGGCAGCCACAGACTGGAGAATTACCCAAATTTACTGGAGAGTGAGTAACAACGATCTCTTGGACACACTGGCCTAAAAGCCACTGAGTGACCAAGAGCCCCTCCTTTTTGTCTGTGCCAATCTAGCGCCTTCTGCTGACAAAGCCTAATATTGTGCAATATGACAGCAAATATTACAGATTTTAGCTCCAATATAACAATTCAGGACAAACAAGAATAGACTTGGAGCGGAGGAACACTAAATTAACTGGCATGCACTTCCATGACTCCACTGGGTTCTGAAGGATGAGCATGTTCTTGCATCAAATTCCTGCGCCATTAGTTTTATATTTTTCCTAACTGTCCCTAAAAGATGGAATAGAACCAAGCTTTGGAGGCACTATGTACTCATAGCTGGTATGATGCATGGTAAGTTCATGGGAGAGAGTTCAACACAGTGACTGAGACAAAGTCTGCAGCAAACAAACACTCGACTCTGAATGGATGCTTGCTTCAACACTGACTAGATCTGTAGCCTTGCAAAAGTACATCCCTGTGTACCTCAGTTTCCTTACATGTAAAAAGGGATGAAAACAATGTCTATGTTATTAAGGTATTAGGAGAAATACATAGTATAAAGCCTACAGAAGAATATCTGATATATTTTTAGAACTTAATAAGTATTTGTCTACCCATACATGGTAACCCGTAATTGGTGTTAAACCAATACATATTTTGTTCTCACTTTCAGTTTCCACTTAGGATAGTGCCTCATCCTGCTAAAACCTAACTTCCTTTGGTGAGACTGGGCTTTGCTACAAAATCTTGCCTGTTTCTGAGCACTGCCTGCAGCTCTGGTTTCACACCCAGGCACTGGCCCTGGATCACGGAGTAATCCTCACCAGCCACAGCTGACTCTTTGGAGATCTGGTTTCTTACATGAAAAAAAGACACAAAGCTAAACAAACCTTCTTTAAGTTCTTCTTCAGTTCTGACCTAGTTTGATCTTTTTCTCCCCCCAAACAGTGAGGGAGGGAAAGAGGAAGGAAATTACCATTTTGAACGCCTACCCACCTGTGCCAGGCAAGAGTTCTGCCTGCTTTTCCTAACTTAGTCTTCACCACAGCCCTCTCAGATTAGTAGTATTAATCCCATTTAACAAAGAAGGAAACTGAGTCTCAGCTGAGTTTCCTTGATACTATGCTCCTGGCTCCTCCTAAGTAGCAGAGGCTGGCTTCAATCCCCCTCTGTTTGGGTCCTCAAAGCATTTTTAACTGTACTGCTTGCCTCCCACATTCCCTTCATCTCAGACATCAAGAATCCTAACTGCTCAAAGCTTTTTGTTCACTGATTTAAAAAGATGAGTGGGTGTTAGACTTTTTTTTTTTTTTGTCTGAAACATATCATTTGAAAGTTAAGCAAATGAAATTCGTTTATCAGTTACAGAAAAATTTTAAAAATCACTCTTAATGTCCTACAACACTCGTTGTAGGGCATTAAGAGTGAAAATTAGCAGCCCTTCTGCTTTCTTGAGCCCTGTCCTCACCTTTCCTCCTGGTTGAAAACTTGGTGAAAGGAAATGAGACAGTTGGGGGTTAGAGAGTTAAATTCCAGTCCAGATCAAAACCTTCTTTCTTTTCACTGTAGCAGGAGGTTGTCTAGATGATCTTAAGGTTTCTTCCTTAGGGACAAGTCTGACTGGTGTCTCTTTTGGGCAGGGCGTGCCCTGCCTTCCCTGGGCCTCTGGTCTGGGATTAAGCTGTCCATTTCTCTGAGGAGGTTGCTCTCTGCAACAGTCTCCTCTCCAACTTCACCCCTGTAGCCCTCTTCTTCCCGCTCCTCCTACTGAAAAAAGTGAAACCCCTTACTCAGATCCCTACAATCGCCTGTCACGAGACAACCCCCGCCCTCTGCTAAGTTTCAGTCCAGGCTCCGAGTCCAAGATTCTGCTTCACCTTCTCCCCGCAATCACAGCAACCAGACTTCAGTTCTCTAACTTTCCTTTCTCAGAGGGGGACTTCTGAGAACTTTGTAAAGAGTTAAGCAACTGCAAAAGTGAAGCGATGCAGCCTCTCTCAACAGTGACTTCCTCCCCACCGCAGACCTCCAGGCTCTCAGGCCTTCTGCAGTTCCTCGCCAGGTCTCTGCACCCCAGTTTTCTCACGGTAGGATCCGGCTCCAAGAGGCATCAGACACTCGGTTCGCCAGCTGTTGAGGTCCCTCTATTTCTGTTCGATCCGAGCTCGGGTCAGAGGAAGTCTGGGCGTCCTCTTCGCGCTGCAGCCTAGCGCACCGCTGGGACACTACAGGGGCTGAAGAAAGGTCCGCACTGGGCTAGCGGCCCTTGCTGCCGGCCTCCCCCACGCCGGGCCTCGTCTCCCCTCCTTCCCCACTCCCGCCTCCTCCCGTAGGCTGCCAGGCGGACCCAGCCTGCCTCTCTCTCTGCCTTCACTACCGGGTCAAGCTGAGGAGGGAGGGATACAGCGGCGAAGCCCTCCCTGGCTCTCCACCCGGTGCGCGCGCGCCCCTCCTCCCTCTCCTGCTTATTCCCTCCTCCTTTGCCTCCTCCCCTCTGCCAGTACAGTACAACTAGTACACACACACACACACACACACACTCCCTGACGCTGCCACTGCAGCTGCCATGGATATCAGCTAACAACACACACCCAGGCGCGCGCGCGCGCTCCCACTCGCACCACGCAGGAGTGGCCCCCGGCATCCCTACCCTCTCTCCCCACCCCCACACCACCCGCTCGCTACTGCTCCTCTGGCTCTGCCGCCGCCGCCGCCGCCACCACAGCTTCCTCTGCTGCGGGGCCACAGCCTTGAGTGTCATTCAAGGGACAGCACAACCTCACCCAAGCTCTTCTACCTCTGCCCAGCCGTCCCTCTCATCCTCCCCCTTCCTCGTCCACACTTCATCCAAAGAAGAGGGAAAGCACCGAACAGAGGGGGGGAGGAAGGCAAAGTCTGCTCTTCTTACCCCTTTGCCCCCTTGCTCCTCCATCCTCGTTCTCTCAATACCAACACCCTCCCCAAAGGAACCCCAGGAACTGAGGAGACTCACCCCACTGCCATGTCCAAAAGCTTGAAAAAGAAAAGCCACTGGACTAGCAAAGTCCATGAGAGTGTCATTGGTAGGAACCCGGAGGGGCAGCTGGGCTTTGAATTGAAGGGGGGCGCCGAGAATGGACAGTTCCCCTACCTGGGAGAGGTGAAGCCCGGCAAGGTGGCCTATGAAAGCGGCAGCAAGTTGGTGTCGGAGGAGCTGCTGTTGGAGGTGAATGAGACCCCCGTGGCGGGGCTCACCATCAGGGACGTGCTGGCTGTGATCAAACACTGCAAGGACCCCCTCCGGCTCAAATGTGTCAAGCAAGGTGAGCGCAGCGGATGACTGGGTTCTTTGCCAGGCAGAGGGACGGCTTGCGGAGCGGGGCAATGCAAGGGTGGGCGCGCGTGTGGAAGGGGGTGTGTTGCGCGATGGTGGGGTGGGGTCGAGAGAGGACCTGAGGTGCAAGTGAACTGTGCCGGGTATCCGACTTGGGGGACCGAGGGGAGGGGAGGAGCAGGTTGCGGTGTGGCATGCAACTTTGTTTGCGTAGTTAGACCCTCCCCTTTGGAAGGTATTCGGCCTTGTCTGACCTCCTCAGAGCTCCCGGGGCAAATTGAATGTGCGTCAGTGGCATCGCCCGCAGTGGACGAAGAGCTTTGGGGGAAGGAAGGAAAGAAAGAAGGAGGGATGGAGAAGGAAGGGAAAGAAAGGAGGAAGGAGCAACTCCAGGGTGCAGCGGCATAACCAGTGGGGCTGGGAGGAGCAGAGGGTGGGAGACCAGTGGAGAATTGCGTCCAGTTTTTCGAGAACTGGACTGGAGATGCCTGGGTCCCCAGTTGTTCCCTAGATATCCCTGAACCACTAACTGGCGAGGAAGAGAAGGAATAAATTGCTTTGGGAGCTTTGATGGGTCTTCTGTAACTTTTTCCCTGCTTCACTCCCCTGTCCCCCTCCCCCGCCCACGGTGGTGTCATGTGGGCATCGCGCGTCACGTGCGGACTGACTAACCCCGGCGCTCACCCCTAGCCAGCAGTCGGGAGGAGGCTCCGGAAGGAGGCGCGGCGCTAGCTGCGCGTTCTACTTTTGGGGGGTCGAGAGCGGAGGATGGTTCCCGGAGTATACTTTACTCAGGGGGTGTCCTCACGGAATGGAAGTCCTCCTGTGGTTGGGCTCTCCTCTGGCTGAGGAATTGGAGGGGCGTGTTTCTGGGGAGGAGTTGGATGGGAATACCAGCTGGTTACAGCTCAGACTCCCTCAGCTCCAACCTGACTTTGATGAGCCACAGTGCAAGGCTGTGACGTGGACTTAAGGAGATGAATGTTTCAGAACTCTCCCGCTAACTCCGTCTTTGCTTAACAGAAAATTGTCCCAAAGGGGAAGAGAATGAGATAAAATATGAGTTTATTAGAGGACAACTTTAACAAGTGCAAACCAGTGTATCTGTTTTTTACACGTGATTACATACATATCATTTTATGGCTTCATGCACATTTCATGTGCCACATGTATGTATGCTGCACATGAATGTCAATCTAAGGTTTGTTGTCAATGTTAAATCGTCCTGCCTCAAAGATGGGGTTGAGCATATCATTGTCTCTACTTTGAATAACCACTTAATCCTATTGCATGATCAACTATCAAAAAGTGGCCTTAGGGACAGCACTTTAAATTTTCTGATTGCTCTAAAATTTTGTCTAAAACAGTTATCTAAAAGTTAGCAAGAGAAAAAAGAAGTTTTAAATGTAAATTGTCATACAAAAATGTTTTCATTGGAATTTTAGTATTAATAGTTGATGACTTTGTACAGTCTTATGCAACTTGTAAGACACAAAAGTACATTAGTATGACACTGAAGAATATGAGTTAGGTAATACAGTATGTTGGTGTTTTTCAATATGACACACCCAAGACAAATACTGAGACTTGTGTTAGCATATTCTATGTCATGCTACTACCTAATAGCAATAGATATAAATGTTAAGTTCTGACTTACAGTACAAAAATGTACTGCATAACTAAGTCATGTTTTTCTTGACCATGGGCTTGGTATTAGTAATGAAAAGTGGTTGCAAAATTTAACACATTCATAAATTGAACTAATAGTGTCCTATGAAGGGATCAATTGCCCAATTGTGGTTTGCAATGGTGAATTCATCTTAAATGTTGTAGTATTTTATTCTGTGTACTATATATTTATATCGTCTTTGGCAAATTTTAATACTAGCAACCAATAATGTGTCCAAAAGAGAAAGAAAGGGAAATTATTGAGTGTTGAGTACTGAGTATTTCATTTCCATAAAAATTCAATGGAAACACTTTGAAAAACTGAGGGCATAAAAGTTGTCATTAAATATTGAAAAGCTATCAAGTACAAAAAGGAATTGTGACTATCCCGTGACAGTCCACAAGACAAGACTAAGATGAATATATGGAAAATTTTTAAAGGCTGAAGCATCTTTATCTTTATTTAAACAACAAGCTTTCTAACACAGCTTTCCAAAAGTCTCTGAGCAATATTACAAATTGAGCTTCCCTTGATTGTGGGTGTTCATGAAGAAGCTAAAATGATTATTTTCCCTGGATTCCTTTGTAAGACAGAGAATTGAACTAGGTGTCATTTGTATCCTGCTGTTATAATACAGCCTCTGATTACTAAACTTTGGTATTATATTTTATTTGGAGGATAGTTGCTTTTAGAATTCAGGGAATATCTGTACAGGAAGTTATATATCTAAGTTAATATCACTTTGCATCATATATTTGCCCTCAGTTCTAGGCATCACAGCTTCATTGATGACAGAATTTTTTACCCTTGTTCAAAGAACCCCTATGGGTACCTGATTCATCTCCTGAATCACTACTGACTGAAAGAAAAGGAATTGCTTCTGTTACCATTTGTGGAACATATAATCTTTAATATACTCTTTTAAGTAGAGTAACTCATATATAAAATTCTCTTGTTGAAATCATTCTTTTATTTGTCAAATAATGTTTATTTTATTTATCACTGTAAACAAAGTAAAAATTTCAGAACCATAAATGTAGTGTTATTTCTTGGGTTTTAGTACAGATTTCATTTTTTGGAAAATCATGTAGAAACTCTTGGCTCAGTAGTTATATTTCTGTAGAGCCAAAAAACTAGCATAGCTGAAAGCTTAAGCATGGTTTGTTAGCAGTTGTATTTTTAAATATTAATGAGATGATTTTTGAATATTCATTCAGATATTGAGAATCATACAAAAACTACATGAATAATTATTGCTAAACTAAGGCAGATTTTATAAAGAAAATGAAAGTATGAATAACAAGTATATTGATAAAATATATACCAGATAAAAATCACACTATTTTATCAAATTTTATGTATTAATTTGACTAATTTTACATTATAGTCATAATAATTTTAGATGATTTTAATTTTAAAAGAAGATGAGCTACTAGGACTTTATGTCATACTAAACAAGATAGATGTCATTTTTCTTTACTATTTAAATGCTTTCAAACCCATTTTTAAAAAAAGTTTTAATTAAATTAAGGGGTTTCCTTTATAGTTTAAGCCATCTCCTTTTAAGCCACACATTATTGAGCCATATATGAAAAATAACATTTATTGTCACACACAATTATTTTTTATGAATTATGGCTTTTTCATTTATGACAATAAACTTTCCTCCTCAAAGTATTTACTTCTAAATTAGCATTTCTGTTTTATGATCTCATTCATGTATCAGACCAAGTCAAAGAAAGTTCCTTGGGTGATTTTGAGCTCTATATTGGAATGCTAAGGGTTATTCTTTTACCTTTTCTTTTGTTTATCACTGAAGTTCATAGCTGACCATCGCATAGACCCTGTGTTCTACATTCCTAGCACTATATGGCTGCTAATGCATCCAGGCCCACAGAGCCTGGATTTATTTCCCATTAGATATCTCACAATGGAAAATAAAGGGCAAAAACGTTTTCTGATTCATCCTATGTGGAAGATAGGCCAAATAAGGCCTTTGAAATTCAGTGCTAGAGAGAAGATCTCCATTGCTTTCCCTGCTATTGCTGCTTTCAAAGACATCTTCAAAGGGAAGTAGATCCACATTTATTAAGAGTCATGCTTTCTTCTTGACTGACTTTAGGCTAATATCGTAAAGTTAAACCTCTATGCTTCCTTTAATTTGGAAAGTTAAAAATAAACTATGTCAAATTTTCTGCCAATAAAAATTGACTTTCCTTCATAGAATGTAAACTATATTGCTTTTATAATACAAATAATAATAATAATAAATAATAGAAATGTTTAAACATTTTGATCAGTTAATTATTTTAGAAATAAAATATCTTTAATGTTTTGGAAACAAGGTCAATGAGACGATTCTGTTTGAACATAATTTATGAGAGACTGCCACTATAGTTTCCTGTATAATTTAAATGGTATGACCTTGAATGTGAAATATAACCATTTGTGTGTTATGCTTTTATTTTGAATGAGAGTCTCTTTGTGACATCCCTGCTGAAGAATTTAAGTGCTACCATCTCTTTTCTTAACATTTACAAAGTGTCATCTTTTGGCACATTTGTTATGCTCACTTTCCCTTTTAGTTGCTTGAAACTCACACATCTACTTTCATAATGAGAAAAAAGTTTGCACATCTGACATCTCTGATTGCTTGCAGTTTAAACAATGGCTTTCAAATGCATAGCAGGCCCTGGCAGAATCATTTCCCCCAGGAGGTGGTAGAGAGTAGTGGTAAAATGGGTACTCTCCTGTGTGGACTATCTTGCTTTGAATCCCGAATAAGCTAGTTTATACAACCTATATAAGCAAGTGCCCTAACCTGGTATAGTACCTTAAGAAGATTAGACAAATTTTAAAACATGTAGTGCCTGGAGGGCAATGTGTTTTATGAATTATAGCAAATGTTATTTCTAAACATATTGGTCATTTTGAGCTAGTAACATTATAAAATATTTTAAACTTTTCAAGACATTTTACTCTTAAGATTTACTGAAGAAATAAAATGATTAATTAATAGCATGACTAATTTGCAAGTTGTATACTTGAGGCTTTTCTTTGAAAAGTATTTCTTTGGAGAGTACTGTCTTTTCACCTTTTAAAAATAACTCCCAATGATACTGCCTTTATGTGTAAAGGTATGCTATTTGGTATTTATTTTAGACTTTAGACAGTTTATTTTCACCCAGCAAGTTATTCCTTGCTGAATTCCCCAAATTCAGCAAGAAGTATACTTTGCATTTGTGGGAATGAGGATAGCTCAATATAAATAATTGTCTATATTAACATTCTTTGTGATATGCCATGAAGAACCAACAATATCTTCACTGCTAACACCCTAATGATTTTAGCATTTTAATTGAACTTATCCTATCTCAGAATTAAAAGAAACACTCATCTTGAAGATCCAATGTCAAATATTGATTCTTAAAAATTTTTGTTAGCTACAGTCTGATTAAATATCATGTCAGGAAGCATGAAATAAGGTCTTACAACTTTCTTAGTATTGTAACTTCTTAAAGTTTTTTTTTTTTTAATCCTACTCCAATCTCAGTTCTGTCTCTGTCTCTAGTAAGTACTTTCTGATTTTTTTCTTTAATAAAAGTAAAGTATGTTATAAAGAGAATTTTATAATAAATTCATAAGTAATGAATTCACATATATAAGAAAAGACTTGCATAGAAATATGCATCTGCTGAATACCGTATTATTCCGCATCATTGTAGATGATAAAAAGTGCTTTTACTGTTGCCTTTCAGTGATATTTTTATCAGCTCTTTCCAAAAGACTCCATTTAGATTAATATTTTTTTCAACTTTAAAAATTTGTATTGGGTTTAGTATGTAGTGCTGGCCATTTTGGATAGTTGGGAAGAAACAGTAAAAGTTTTCTTTTTTGAGAATTGTATAAAATCTCAAGTGCATCCAATGGCTCTATT